AGTGTAGTGTGTACCGGCCGCTTCGCTGTCGTCAAAGATGCCCGGGGTGGCGGCTGCCCCCTGGGAAGCACGAAAACGCCTTTGAGGCTCAAAGAAGTGACGCTGCACGGAGCTCCGAGCGGAAGGGAAAACGGGGGGATGGGAGGGGCGGGGCGGGCCCTGTCATCGCTGCAGGATTTCCGGGAACCGCCCGGGGAGCGTCTCCTTCCAGGCAAACGCACTGAGTGGGCGTGTGTATACCAGTGCTGTCCGATGGAAGCGTCAGGCAAACCACATGTGTAGTTTTTACAGTGGTAAAAACAGCAGGTGACGTTCACTTTTTAAAAATACATATTTTTATTGATTTCAGAGAGGAAGGGAGAGGGATAGATATGAGAGAGAAACCTCAATGAGAGAATATCATTGATTGGTTGCCTCCTGCACGCCCCCTACTGTGTGTGTGTGGGGGGGGGCAATGGAACCCACAACCTGGGCATGTGCCCTTGGCCGAAATCGAACCTGGGACCCTTCAGTCCTCAGGCCGATGCGTTATGTACTGAGCCAAACCAGCTATGGCCGTTCATTTTTAATAATACAATGGGGCCTTGACTTATGAGTGTCCCGACTAACGAGTTGTCCGAGATACCAACTGTCTCTCCGCCAATTTTTTGCATTGAGTTGACATACGAGTAATTTGAGTTACGAGCTCCTTAATCTTGGAACGAATTAAACTCTTAAGTCAAGGCCCCACTGTATTTAACTGTAGTAGTGTTTGACTATATTCTGCTTAGTGAGAAAACCTGAAGTCATTTTCAAGGATTCATTTACAGCACATATCAATTCCAGCTGTCCACATTTTGGGTGCTTACTGCCTAATGGGTGTTGTATTGGACGGTGCAGGTCTGTCCTGTGGGTGTCACAGACAAGTGATGATTTGGGAAAAGCATGGGTTAAAATGAAGCTGGGTATTGTTACTAGCTTCTTTAATCAGTTGAGAAAATCACTTAATGTTTGAATTGTATATTATTTGGCCTATCTCATGCGTTAGTTAAGAAGCTTCAGTTGAATAGATCAGTTTATCCTACTCTGCGCCAGCCACACTGGCCTTCTTGCTTTTGTTTTCAAGGCTGTTCTCTTTCTCTACCCATACCTTCTGTCCTTTAGACCTTACTTGCTTTTAGCTTGAAGATCTTCCTTGATCATCTTTTCCAGAGTAGCCCTGTCCCCTTCCATTACTGATGGTGTAACTCCAGTGGTCTCCAACAGAATTGGTGTCTAGTAAGTATTGGTTGAATGCACTCACTGAATGACACAAGTTAACTGATTTTGTAAACTATAAGATGTTGTACAGTTTTATCAGCTGACTACAAACAGGAAACAGATGTAAAGCTGGACAATGAAATATATAGTAATTCCTTCATTCAGTAACATTTGTTGATGCTTACTGGATGCCAGGCGTTGTTCTAGAATCTGGACATAAACAAACGAGAAAGACATAGGCCTTGTCTTATAAGCATGTACACCAACAATTTTAGTGTCTGAGAGTTACCCAAGTTTGTACCAAGTACCCAGAAAGTCTGAGATCAGAGTGATCAGCGAGGAGTGAGGAATGGCATTAGAGGAGCATTAAACATGAGTTCAGTCTTGAAGGGTAAGTATAGCAAGGGAGGGGAGAGGATATTCAAGCCAAGGGAACAGTGGCAGTGTGGAATAGCGTGTGATATGTAAGAGGACTGGAGGTTGCTTAGAACTTCTGGAGTGTAGAACATGGGAGGGAGGATGGTGGGAGTTGAGGCTGAAGAAAGGGGCAAGGGCCATGTCATGAAGGATGTTGTTCGTAGCTTTCTCTTTGAGGCAATGGGCATCAAGGATTTAAAGGCAGGGAATGACACCATCAGTTTTTGGTTTTAGAAAGATCACTTTGATATCTATGTGGATGGAGAAGAACAATTAGACTGCTGTGGCACCATTTCAAGCATGAGGTAATAAGGGCCTGAATTAGTGTAGGGCAGGGACATGGAGAAGAGGGGATGGATTCATGAGTGCTGGAGTTGAATGACTTGGTGACTAATTGGACTTGGTGGGTAAGGGAGAGAGAGGAGTCTAGGATGACAGTTTCTAGTGCTCATTTGGGGACATGTTGAGGGGAGGCAACTGTGACAGGAAGTCTAAGGAAGAGGGACAGGAGGCAGGGGGCATCAGAGGCTCGAAACACTATTTTAGAATGGTCAGCCTAGAAGAAGTAAGCAGATGAGATTCCCCTAGGTCAGTGGTCGACAAACTGCGGCTCTTTGGCCCCTTGAGTGTGGCTCTTCCACAAAATACCGACTTCTGCGCATGGGCCACGAAGTTTCAATCGCACTGTACGTGCGCACCCACACGTGGTATTTTGTGGAAGAGCCACACTCAAGGGGCCAAAGAGCCGCATGTGACTCGTGAGCTGCGGTTTGCCGATCACTGCCCTAAGGGAACCACATAGATGGTAAGAAAGAGGGCGCATAAAGAGAAGCTGGGAAATATTAGTGCTTAGTAACCAGCAAAAGAGATCGAAAGGACCCATCAGAGAAATGGAAGGGAAAATACATTTGTGGGTGAGGGCTGAGGCACATAAAGTGGGTGGTTGTGAAAGGAGAACAGGGCCCTTAAATCTTAAATCAACTGCCTCCTACATGCCCCCTACTGCAAATGGAGCCTGTAACCCGGGCATGTGCTCTAACTGTGACCATGTGAATTGAACTGTGACCTCCTGGTTCATGGGTTGACATTCAACCACTGAGCAACACTAGCCAGGCTCAAAAGGTCTTTTAGATGAAAACAAGGTGTTTTTTTTAAGAGTCACTGGTGGTGGAGGAGAAAAAGAGAACAGAGAAAGAGAAGTAGCTTCATAAACTTGAGGAAGCAGATTATTTGCATGGAAAGGCTTTTAAGCACTGTTCTTTCTACTCTCATGCCATTCTGCTGATTCTCAGAGCTAATCCCTTCATTACTATTAATTCATTTAACAAATATCTCTTGAACACTGTTTTGTGTCAGATACTATACTACAGCATCAGCCATAGCACTGGGAATAGAATGGTGAATAAGACAGGTAAAGACTGTTTTCATGAAGTGCATAGTCTATTTGGGCTGGGGGTAGGAGGTAGACAACAGACAGACAAATAAATGAAATAATCACAGATTGTAATATGCTGTGAAAGAAATAATGTGCCATGCCAGAGAAGTAACAGGGTAGCTTTCTCTAAGATGACATTCAGGTGAGACTTGATAGATGGGTAGGATCCAGCCATCTGAGGAACAGTGGGAAGAACATTCCAGGCACTGGACAGCAAATGCAAAGACCCTGAGGCTGGGAAGAGCCTGGAACTGAAAGAAGGTCTAGGTACCAGGAGCATCATGAGTGAGGGGGAAAGTAGCATAAGATGACTTGGGTTATATCAGGCCATAATAAGGTGTTGAATTTTTCCGGTGATGAGGAAAGCCAATAAAGAATCTTAAACAGGGTAGTGACATGGTCTGATTGGCTTTTAGAAAGATTATTCTAGCCGCTTTGTGAATATCAGATGAGAGAAGGACAAGATTGGAAGTAGGAAACCAGTCATGGGGTTATTACACATGTCCAGACAAGAGATGATGGTGACTGGAACTAGAGAGTGGCTGTGGGGACAGTAAGGGGGCTGATTTGATCTCTATTTTGGAGGTACATCTGCCTGCTTGAATGGAATGCAGAGATTACAGTGACAGAAATGCACAGAACCTAAGAGCTGGTATTTAAGAGACCATTTAATCCATTTGTCATCAGCTGTGACCCAGGAAATGTGTGAGGCTGATTTCCTCAGGTACATAACTAGTTTGTGAAGGTCTATTTGATTTGAAGTTTAATGTTATTTGAACAACATGATAACAAGCAGCATATATCTTCATTTTGCAAGTGTATGCACTTTTATTATACTTATGGTTTTATATACACAAATTTTTCTGATGTTAAATCAAGAGAAAATGGTTTTTAAAAACCAACTAGCCAGCTTTGAAATGTTTGGTGCTGCCCTCCTGCCACCTCCTGGCAGTTTCTGTTATTGCAGGGAAGGAGTTTTCCAAGTTTACTCAGGGATCCTGTTTATATCCCAACTGTGGCAAGATTCAGAAAGACTTAAAAGTCTTGGATAATAGAACCAACTATGCAGGATAATTCATGCATACTAGAATTGTTAAAGGCTTTTAAAAATTGAAAAATTCTATTTAAAAGATTAAATTGTTTTCATTATCAAACAAAAGTGAAAACTTAAAAAAAATCTTGGTCACATACATATCTCATTATGAGCCTCACATATACATTGAATTTGACAGTGATTACAAAGTAGTAGTTACATAATTGAATAAAATAATAAGATTATTTAAGATAATCACTTACCTTACTGAGCAGGATTATATACCTATTTAAGTGAACGACTAGGAGTAATAAGTTGATTTTGTAATGCTACATATAAAACATTATATTAGAAAATTGTACAAGTGATATTGTGATATAAAACAGAACTACTAAATAAATTCCTTTGTAACCTAATGTTATTTCCCCCTAACATTTTACTGCTCAATTTTCAAGCATACATCAAAGTTGGAAGAATCTACATATATAAAAGGCTAAGCAACCAACCAACTGGCCGACTGGCTGGTAGATATGAAGCACACTGACCACCGGGGGCAGATGCTCAATGCAGGAGCTGCCCAGCAACAACAATTTTGCAGATTGCCCTCTCGCACTCCAGGACCCCTCAGGGGATGTCAGACTGCTGGTTTTGGCCCGATCCCCGCAGGCCAGGCAGAGGGACCCCACCTGCCAGAGGGATCCCCCGCTCACTCTGCAGACACCCTTTGAGCCATGGTGCCGCCCAGGTGCGGCTGGCCGGGGAGGGACCGCAGGAGGTTGGCCCCAGGGCATGTCTGGCCTGTCTTGCCCAGTCCCACCCCTACTGGCCACCTTTTAATTAATTTCCTTTCAATGTGCACAAATCTGTGCACAGGGCCTCTAGTTTTGTAATAATACCAGTATACCCACATCTAGGTTCTGTCATTACATTTTATTCTATTTGTTAATCACCTATCTGTTGATCTGTCTATATCTTCTCTGTATCCATCAATTCTTATTTCTTTTTGAAGCATTTTAAAGTTAATTGCAGAGAGTACACTTCCTCCTATACTTTAGCATGCTCAGCATTAACCAGAGTTAACATTTGTTTATGTTATTTCCTGAGGTAAAATTTAATATAATGAAATAGATACAGTTTAAGTGTACATTTGAGACATGTTTCAATTTTTCCTGGAATAAGGAATAGAATTGCTGGACTCTAGGATTAATGTATGTTTAGTTTTATGCTACATCTTTTTCTGAAGCAGTTGTACCATTTCATACATCCACCAACATTGTATGAGAGTTTTAGTTGCTCCATGTCCTTGCCAACTTTGGTGTTGTGTTTTTAAATGATCTAACTTTAAGCATTGTCACTTATAAATTATTGGGAGAAAAGTGATACCTTTTAGTTTTTATTATTTTCCTAGAGAATAATTTAAAAAGTAATTATACCACTTATTTCTTTGTTCTATTCATTTATCTTTTTTCTTTTAAGTTTTTTATTTTGACATACACACAGACTTACAGGAAGCTTCCCTCAATCATTCTTCAGCATTTGGCAGTTTTCACCAGTTTTTAATTTAAATACTCTTTTGCTTTGTGTATAAGAAACCATTACTCATGTTTTTTCACCAATCACTCATTGCAGCTTCTATGCATGATTTTCATTCTCTGCAGATCCCTTGTTGTTGTTCCAGTTTCAGCCCTGATGCTTTTTTACTCTATAGAATTCTACTGGGCGGTTTTATTCATACCCAGGGCTTCAAGTGCTGCCTGTGCTCTAACCCCTAAATCTACTTCTTTAGTTCAGATCTTTCTTGACTCTTAACTGCTAACTACACTGAGTGGCGTTGTTTACCCATATCTTCAGAAAAAAAATCACTTCTACTGTCATGGTAAACAACCTGCTTCCCTATTTATAATGGTCTGGCCCTCTAGCAACTTCAGCGGGAAATTATAGCTAATTTGCTTACAAATGTCAGGTGGTCATAATAATCTGGGCACTTAGTGTATATCCACTTGGATGTTCCACAGATATCTCAAGTGCAATGTATTCAAGTAGAATTTATTTTCTTCCCTCCCATTTACATTCTGTTCCTTCTTATATCTTCTAATTTGATAAATAACCTACAATCCATCTAGTTACTCGAGCCAGAACCCAGGGGCAAAAGCTAGACTCCTCCTTCTTGCAGTCATTTATTTGGTCATCAGTTCCTAATGGCTCTCCTCTTGTGTGTGTCTCTAACCTGCCTGCTTCTCTCTCTAAGGTCATGTCTGACATTCTGCTATCAGGTGCTTCCCCTCTACAGCCCACTCTGTTAATGCTGACTGACTTGGATTTTTTTTAAATAGCTTATTTGGGTTTTTAAATTACAAAAATTATTTAAATTATATGCCTCTTATAGAAATTCAAACAAAACAAATTTAGAAAATTTCTAGTCTCCCTTCCTCCCAACTTTCAAGCCATTTCTATCCTCTAGAAATAACTAGTGTTAATATTTTGGTGTATAACCTCCCATATTTTTCTTCTATTCAAACTCATACATACACACACAGACACACACTCTTTGCAAAACAGAATTATATAATACTATTGCTTTACAGCTTAGTTTTAATTTAATATGTCAATGTATACAGAACTACCTGAAATTAATGTGGAGTATCAATATACCATAATTTATTTAATAATTTCTCATTGATAATGGATAATGCTGTAATGAACACTCCTATATATTGATTACTTTAGTAGTATTTTGTTGCATAGATTATTAGAAGTAGTATTATTTACATTTTAAATTTTGTGAAATCTTGCCACTGTCCTTCTAAAAGATGCAACTTTGTACTTTCCCACTATGATGGTGCCAGAAGCTTTTTCTACCTTGTCAATGCTAGATACTTATTAATTGTCTAACATTGTTCAGTTTTTGCCAATTTAATAGGCAAACTCTATATAGTTTTGTGGCAATTTAAGACCAGAATATTTCTTGTTCTGAAGATGGCCAATGACTATCTTCAGCATTTTCTCAATATCATTGCCTATTTGGATTAGGTGACTTTTTAAGCTCTTGAACAAGGAAGTTGCTTGGAGAGATGATTTCTAATATGTGTTTCTGCTTGCAGGAAAAACTTCTTATGACTCAGTGTAGTCTAACAGCCAAGATGAAGAAAGCCATGCATCTACAGGACATGGAAGTGAAGAATGCTACAGAGTGGAAGGTAACAGCAGAAGTAGTCGGACATTTCTTGCCTCTGAGGCCCTTGCAATCTGTGGCTGCCATCAGTTGTCAGGGCCCTTGCAGATAAGTTGGTAGAACAGGAAGTATGTATCTGTCCCTAATGATCTCTGAGTTCCATATACTTCATCCCCATCTCTACTTTTGAGGTAGTGCCACCTTCTTTCCCACTTTTTCCTAAGGTTGGAATTGGTTTGGGTCCATGGCATTGTAGAAAGTAAATGGACTGTGCTTTCAGAGATGCTAATCTAGTTGGGAGGCATGATGTGTGTGGGCACAAGCACATATCTAAAGGTTTAACAAAACGGAAGAGTACGTGTTCTGAGGGCTAAACTAAGTAATAGTAGTGAAAGTGCATTTTAGTTTAAAAAGTACACAAAGCATTGCTAGCAATAGTAGAGACCCAGATGTTACAAAGAATAAATGAATACTATAAAGACTAATATAAAGATATCACATAAGTTTAAATAGAGAAGTGGAAATTTGTGGCGGGGGGTGGTAGGCAGGAGCTTTTCTGGAGGAGGTGATTAAAATGGAAGGACCATGGATTACTGGGGAGTCATGTGCAAGGAGTTTAGGAGTAAGGACTAGGCAGAAACAAGGACTGAGCAATCTCATGTGGCTCTAGGACAAGATGAAGAATCAGAAATTGAGATTCAGTGCAGAATTTACAAAGCTGCATGACTTCCTGGCTGAAGAAGAGCAACTGTTTCTTCAGAAGTTGAGCAAAGAAGAAGAAGAGACTAAGAAGAAACGGACTGAGAACACATTACGGCTCCATCAGATAATCACTTCCTTGAAGAAGCTCATCTTAGAGGTCGAGGAGAAGAGCCAGAGCTCCATCCTGGAGTTGCTTCAGGTGAGACTGGCAGGGGAGGGGTTAGTTAACATCACTAACTGAATTCTCTTATCTTCAGAGCTGAATGTCTTTCTTAGTGGTTTAATAGAAGAAATGTTAAAATTGTAATACTACTGTCGTTACACAATTAAATAAAGATTTACTATTTAAAGGAACTTAATGTACAATGTAGGTATCATTCACCTGGTTCAATAATTTATCTAGGATCTGAAGCGCATCTAAGACTTTTCTATTTGTCTTATTTATGTTTGTACAAGGTGGGGCAAAAGACTCAGACTGTAAACCTACTTTTGCCCCATCCTGTATTTACCAGCAAACAAAAGGGTAAATATAAATGAGCTAAGCATGCCAACTCAAGAAGGCAGTGGTTGTGGGAAGAGCTATAGAGCAAACCCAAGAACTAGTAAGGAGAAAAAATAATGATTTCACAGTAGCATTATTTATAGTGGTAGTGGTGTTGAAGACAATCTGGGTATCAATTACTGAAAGAGGAAACTGGCAAAAAGTGGACACATAGATTCAATGTATACATAGTAACAGGAATGGATCTTAAAAACATAATGTCTAAGAAAAAAAACCAGAAACAGAGTGCCACACAAACTCTAACTCATTGCATAAATTAAAAATACATAAACGTAAGCAATACTATGTATTTTGCAAGAACACATTAAAAAATTAAGCACAATTGAATGGTTTTTATTTTCAATGTTGCTGTGTTTCTAAGAAGAATAGAAGTGAGTTATGTGCTAAAAGTGAAGGAATAAATGAAAAACAAAAAGGACGGAAGGATGGGTATCAATAAAATAAATTCCCTGAGGCTCTGAGATGCTATGATCCAGTTCTATTTTTAATTATTTGTCTAATCTTGCACTTATGTTGGCTGATAAATTTTTTTGTAAGTACTCTGCTGGCTCATGTGTATCTTTGAGGTTTCAGACTCTAACTAGATATTAAACCTGTATTTTAAACAGTGTTTAAATGTGTTATTTCAAAGGTTCTGCTAGATTATATGTTTGGATATGTAATTGGCACTTCATTGTTCAAGCAAGTTGTAAAAGTTCTAGACAATTATTAGAGATCATTACATTTAGATATAATACATATATTTAAGTATTGCTTAACTGTGTCCACAGATTTTGACAATATTATTTTTATTGTTATAGTAAAACTAGAGGCCCGGTGCATGAGATCCATGCACTCGGGGGTTGGGGGGTCCCTCAACCCGGCCTTCACCCTCTTGCACTCCGGGACACCTTGGGGGATGATCCTTGGGACACCTCGGTGATCAGGCCTAAGCCTGCAGTCAGACATCCCTCTCGCAGTCTGGGGCTCTCGCAGTTTGGGACCCCTCGCTCCTTACCACCTGCCTGTAGTGGAGGCAGGAGAGGCTCCTGCTACTACCGCTGTGCTCACCAGCTGTGAGCCCGGCTTCTGGCTAAGCGGTGCTCCCCCCCCCACCCCCCCCCCCGTGGGAGCTCACTGACTACCAGAGGGCAGCTCCTGCATTGAGCGTCTGCCCCCTGGTCGTCAGTGCACGTCATAGTGACCGGTCATTCTGCTGTTCAGTTGATTTGCATATTATTGTTTTATTATATAGGATAGGATAAACATTTTTAATATAAAATCTTCAGAAAAAAATATAAATCACAAGCTTGACAAGTTATCACCAAGTGACCAGACCATGTAACCACCACGCAAGTCAAGAAGTAGAACAGAAGTAGCATCCCAGAAGCCCTCCTCACACCCTCAATCAATATCCTTTACCTTGCCGAAACCGGTATGGCTCAGTGGATAGAGCGTCGGCTTGTGAACCGAAAGATCCCAGGTTTGATTCCGGTCAAGGGCATGTACCTGGGTTGCGGGCACATCCCCAGTAGGAGATGTGCATGAGGCAGCTCATCCATGTTTCTCTGTCATTGATGTTTCTAACTATCTCTCTCCCTTCCTCTCTGTAAAAAATCAATAAAATATATTTTAAAAAAATATCCTTTACCTCTTCCTTAAAGCTAGTCTCCTTTCAGGCTTCTCACACTTTTGTTTTGCTTGTTTTTGAATAAGAGTCTTTCAGTATGCACTCTTTTTTTCTATCCTCACCAAAGAAGTGAGGATATCTTTTCCATAGATCTCCAGAGAGAGCAGAAGAGAAGGGAAGGGGGTGGGGCGGGAGAGGGTGGGAGAGAGAGAGAAAAATATCAGTGAGAAAGAGACACATTAGCTGGTTGTGTGTGGGGGCGGGGGGTGTGAGCTGGGATCAAACTTGCAACCCATGTATGTGCCCTTGACGGGGAATTGAACCTGAGACCCTCAGGTGCACAGGCCAACGCTCTAATCAGTGAGCCACATCAGCAAGGGCTCAGTATGCGCTCTTTTGTCTCTGTGTTTGTGAGCTTAATCCACGTGTTGCAGATAGCAGTAGATCATTTGTTTTTATCACTGCATAGCAGCAATTCTCAACCAGGAGTGCTTTTGCTCCCCCAGAAACAATGTCTAGAGACATTTTTGGTTGTCACAACTCAGAGGTGGTTACTATTAGCATCTAGTGTGTAGAGGCCATGGATGCTGCGAAACATCCTATAATGCACAGAACACACCTCCCCTTCGGCTCAGGTAAAGACTCATCTAGCCCAAAGTGCTGAGGTTGTATAGTACTGTATTCCTTGGTATCTAGCCCCCCAAGAATACCAAAATCCATGAATACTTAAGTCCCTATTATAAAATGGCATAGTTTTTGTATATAACCTATGCATATCCTCCTATATACCTTAAATAATCTCTAGATTATTTATATATCTAATACAATGTAAATAGTTGTTACACTATGTTTTTTAGGGAATGGGAAAAAAAAGGTAAATTTTAGTACATATGCAACAATGGTAGGCCTAACTATATTGTCAGCAACAATATAAAAATACATTTTATTGATTTTTTTACAAAGAGGAAGGGAGAGAGAGACAGAGAGTTAGAAACATCGATCAACTGCCTCCTGCACATCTCCTACTGGGGATATGCCCGCAACCAAGGTACATGCCCTTGACCGGAATCAACCCTGGGACCCTTCAGTCCGCAGGCCGACGCTCTATCCACTGAGCCAAACCGGTCAGGGCTGTAACATATTTTTTAAACTTTTTGATCTGCAGTTGGTTGAATCCATAGATGCGGAATCTTGGATATGAGGGGTGACAGTTTTCCATAGAATCAGTACACAAAAACATATTATTCATTTTACTATTAGCAAACTTTGGGTTGTTTCCAGTGTTTACTGTTACAAAAAGCAGTTAAAAACATCTTGTTTTGGTTCACTTAATGTGTACAATTTCTGTCAGTTATGTATCAATGAGAGCAATCTCTGATCACAGTAGTTGTACTAATTTACACCATTGCTAGTAATGTGTGAAAGATCCATTTGCTCTATATCCTTATCAATACTTAGAATGATCAGTTCTTTAATTTTAGCCATCTGAAATGATGTATGATGTTATCTCATGCCCTCAATCAGCACCTCTTCCCTCTTCCTGAAAGGTGCATGGCATTTGATGACTAATGAGGTTGAGTACCTTTCAAATGGTAATTAATCATTTTGATATATTTCCTTTTTAAAAAAACAAACAAAACAAAACAGCTTTCTTGAGATATAATTCCCCCATTTTAAGTGTACAATTGAGCAATATAATTTTATCAAGTTGTGCAACCCTTACCATAATCTAGCTTTAGAGCATTTTCGTAAGATCTGTTTTTGTTTGCAGTTAATCTCTGTTCTTACTCCCAGGCTCCCACAACCTACTTTCTGACTCTGTAGATTTCACTTTTTTGAATATTTCACACAAACAATCATATTATGTTGTCTTGTATATCTATTCTTTCATCTAATATAATGGTTTTGAGTTTTATTTATGTTGTAGCATATATTAGTACTGCATTTGCATTCCTATTTAAATTCCTGAGCAATATTCCATTGTAGAATACAGCACATTTTGTTTATCTTTTCACAAATTGATGGGCATTTGGGTTGTTTCCATCTTTTGGCTGTTATGAATAATGCTGCTATGAACATTTGTCTGGTATTCTGTGTGTGAACATATGTTTTCAAGATAGTAGGAGCAGAATTGCTAGGCAGTTTTGTATATTTAACTTTTTAAAAAGCTGCTAAACTCTTTTCCAAAGTGGCTGAACCATTTTATATTCTCACCACATCCTAGCCAACATTTGTTACTGTCTCTGATTGAAAGAGAATAGATGGAGAAGTTGGCGAAAAGCAGGAGAGAGTTAATGTCATAGTGCTAAAAGAGGAAGAATAGAGTTTCAAGAAAAGGATTGATTGACATTGTCAACTAGTACAGAGGGGTCACAGGAGAAAAAGGACATTGTGTCAGTTCATTTGCTTTGGCAGCAAGAGATCATTTGTGACATAAACAAAAGCAGCTGACAGAAAAATACTGCTCACAAAGTTGAGTACCAGCTCTCAGGAGGAAGGTACAAACTTACTTCTTTCTTTCTTCTCTTCTCTTCACAGAATCCAAAAGATCTTTTGACCAGGTATGAACTCCTTCTTTCTTATGGGGGTCTGCATGGAATGGTAAAGATACAGCTTGAGTAGAGGGGAAACAAGGCCGGGCTCCATAGGGCAATCTGGTCACACCTGGAGGGGCTGTGGAAGAGGAGTTCTGTTCACTTTTGCAAGAAGGAATAGAAGAGAAGTTGTCTAAGCTTTGGAGTGGGAACCTTCATAGGAGTTGGGGGTCTTAGCTGCCCTAGCTGTCTCCTAAGAAGAGCAGCCTTCTGTGCTTTTTTTTTTTAGGAGTGAGAACCAAGATGTAAACTATTCCCTTGAAGTTCTAGAGGTGAAGACTGTGTGCCATATACCACTGATGAAGGAAATGCTGAAGCGATTCGAAGGTGAGCAGAACTTCTAGGAGTTGGAGCTCCCTATAAGTCTTTAAAATAAGAGAATAAACAAAGAGAAGTCTGGAAAGGAAGGAGGAAACAGGATATGAAACTAACCAGAGGGTCAGGAAAAATGGTAATTACTTAGGAATGAATGGATATATGCTTCATTCAAGAAACATTTATTTAGCCCTAGCCAGTTTGGCGCAGTGGATAGAGCGTCGGCCTGCAGACCAAAGGGTCCTGGGTTTGATTCCTGTCAAGGGCACATACCTTGGTTGCAGGCTCCTCCCCGGCCTAGGGCCTTGGTCAGGGCTAGTGCAGAAGGCAACCAATCAATGTGTTTCTCTCACATCAGTGCTTCTCTCTGTCTTTCTCTCTCTCGTACTCTCCCTAAAAACCAATGGAAAAATATCCTTGGGCAAGGATTAACAACAACAGAAAACAAAACAAAGAAACATTTAACACATACTATGTGTTGTTATAAGGCACTAATGATACAGAAAGAAAAAGACCTCTTCTAAGTATTCATAAGCAAGTTGGAGACATAGACACATATCATTGTAATATAGTGGATTCAGTTGTTTATCAGTGGTATGAAATATTATAGATGCACAGAGGAAGAGTTCTGTTGCAGGTGAAATAGGGAAGTTTTCATAGCAGAGATGACAATTTTGGCATTTGAGGGTTAACCGAGGTAAAACCAGGTAGACTCCCTGAGTTGAGCAATGGAACTGAGAGTCTAGGGAGAACAAAAAAAAAAGTGAGAGTTTGCAGAGTACTGGAGAGGAGATGGCTATACAGAGAAAGAACCCTGATGATGTACAGAGGCAACCCTGAGTTTTCAGCAGAGTACTGGTCAGAATAAGCTTGTGAAGAACTACCTGAGGTTAAGGAAAGAAGTTTCCAAAATGATTATAAGGAACAGTTCCTGATGCTCACACAGGCCTAGGAACAGTACCTGTTTCTACCAGCCAGACTGGAACATTCTTAATTCATGATTACTGAATAGAGTATTCAGGAAAGTCTTGCCTCATTAGTGGGGAATAATTAACCTATACTGAGCAGTGCTTTGGACTCACCATAAAAATCATGAATGAAGACTCCAAATGATCAAATTATTCCTGAGTAATTGCATCCCAGGACAAGCTCAAGAAGATTGGTTAGAATTTTAAAAAATGGGTGCATATTTAGCAATGTAAATGCACAATCTTTGGCACCCAAT